TCTGGGGGTCAGTGGTTGCTGGTGTTGTTTCACTGGGTCAATAGTGCAAGGTTCAGAATCTCTCTGATTCTCTTGCCTGTAGTGTCTGAGATGGCTGCACAGTGGCCACCATAGCTGCAGATATCACACCCGTGCTCATGATCATAATCCCTGCTGCTGAGAAAAAAGCAACCTCCACTGTGTCTTTTCCTTTTCCAAGAGAGCAAACACTTCCCTCAAAATCAGGGGTGTGCTGGTATGTTGGGGGAGAGGAGGAAGAGGGAACGTCCTGATTTGTAACAGTTGCCATGTTATGTATAAATTCTCCTACTATGTCTGATTCCAAGCTACCGCCATGACATTGCTGACTACGGAGTTGGGGAGAGAAGTCAGCAGCACACCATGATTTAGGATTTCCACCTACTGACGCGGGAGATGCAAATCTTCAAGAACTTAGTAAGAGTAAAATAATCAGGCAATAATGCATTTTGATGAGTTGTTATCTTTGTTTTATATTTATATTTATATATAATTATATAAAATTAATATACGTAATTATAATATATAAATATATAATATAGGCTGGGCACGGTGGCTTACACCTGTAATCCCAGCAATTTGGGAGGCTGAGGTGGGCAGATCACCTGAGGTCAGGAGTTCGAGACTAGCCTGACCAGCATGGAGAAACCCCATCTCTACTAGAAATACAAAATTAGCCAGGCGTGGTGGTGCATGCCTGTAATCCCAGCTACTCAGGAGACTGAGGCAGGAAAATCGCTTAAACCCGGGAGGTGGAGGTTGTGGTGAGCCCAGATCACATCATTGCACTCCAGCCCGGGCGACAAGGGTGAAACTCCATCTCTAAATAAATAAATAAATAAAATAAAAAATATATATTTATGTCTAAATATATAATTATAATACATACACGTATATGTAAATATACATTTATTATAAATTTATTCATATATAAAATATGTTTATTTCTGAGACAGGGTCTGGCTCTGTCACCCAGGCTGGAGTGCAGTGGCACTGTCATAGCTCATTGGAGCCTTGCACAGATGGTTCAAGCGATCTTCCCACCTCAGCCTCCTAAGTGGCTAGGATTGCACACACCACCATGCATAGCTAATTTTAAAATTCTTTGTAGAGACAGGGTCTTCCTTTTTTGCCTAAGCTGGTCTTGAACTCCTGGGCTCAAGTGATCTTCCTGCCTCAGGCTTCCAATGTGTTAGACATGGGCCACTGCACCTGGTCTAATGCATTTTTTAATTTGCAAGTTTATATTATTTAATATTTTTAAGTACTGAATGTGTTGAACAACCAACTTGCAGAATTCCCGAACAATGGATGGTCAGCACTCATGTCCTGGTTCAAATCGCCCCAGCACACCACGGCTAAAAACCTTTCAGCCAACTTCCACTTATGTCTCCCGGGGCAGGACAATGTCACTTGGTCAACCCCCACTAAGAGGGACTCCAGAAAGGCAAGAAACTATTCTGTTCTCTATAATGGAATGTGACCAGGGAGAAGGCAGCTGGGAGGGCCAGCTGGGCCCTCCAACCAGCAGCATCCACCGTTGACCAACTGCCCTAGAACTACACTGTGCTGGGCATTGGGGCACTGTTATGAGCAAGAGTTTCCATTTTTCTTCTCATGGGACCCTCATGCTAGTGGCAAGAGACAACTTTTTTTTTTTTTTTTGAGACAGTTTTGTTCTTGTCACTCAGGCTGGAGTTCAATGGTGTCATCTCGGCTCACTGCAACCTCTGCCTCCTGGATTCAAGGAATTCTCCTGCCTCAGCCTTCCGAGTAGCTGGGATTACAGGATTGCACCACCACGTCTAGCTAATTTTTGTATTTTTAGTAGAGATGGGGTTTCACCATGTTGGCCAGGCTGGTCTGGAACTCCTGAGCCACTGCACCCAGTCAAGAGGGAGATTTTCAATCAATAACTATAATTGTGATGAATGCCAGAAAGAAGAATGTGTGTGATGGGGAAGGGACCTAAGTTATTGTCTCGTATTTTAACACTTTCATAGGCAATAACTAAACACTTAGAAGCTTAAAACAACACACACCTTTAAGCCAATTTTGGCAAGCTAGGAGTTGGGCACATTTTAGCAGGTCCTCTGCCTGGGATCTCACACTAAGCAGCTGGGCTGCATCCTCATCTAAGGCTCCACCAGGGCAGAATCCATTTCCAGGTCCGCTGAGGTTACTGGCAGAATTCATTTCCTTGGACCTGCATGGCAAGGGCCCAGCTTTTTGCTTCCTTGCCTACGGGGCCCCTCCAAAGGTCTTTTCTCAGCACAGCATCTCCCTCCGCAGCGCCTGCAGGCGGAACCTTTCTCTCTAGTGTGCGAAGGTGAAGCACCAGACATTGACATCCCATTGCTTTTGCCAGGCTCTGTGGGTTAGAAGCCAGTCACCGGTTTTGCTCGTGCCCAAGGTCAGGAAGACTATACAAGGGCATAGGTCATTGGGGGGTCAGTCACTTTAGGGTATGGCTGCCACCACTGAACTTGGTGAGACTTTAAGGGTTAGTAGGAGCTGGCCAGGTACAGGGGTGAGGGTGTGTCAGGCAGGGGTGAGGGCATGGAGGGGGATGCAGAGGCCTGCACCCTGGAATGTCCTTTCACTCCCTGAGGTTTTGTTCTCCTGATCCCTGAGTACATCCCAGAACACGATGGGGCCCTAGTAGGGGAGAGGTAGGGAAGCATGTGATGTTCATCCGGGGACCTTGTTAGGTAAATCAGATTAGGGGCCAGGCTTTCATTGGCGGGTGCGAGCGTGGGAGTGATGAGTGTTCAGGTGTGTGTGGGAAGAGCGATGGGGATGGGGTCAGCCCCAGCCACCATGAAGACCTTAACTGTGCATCCACCCATCCCAGCAGCCTCCCTGAGTGAGTGCCTTCAGGGTGCAGGTCCTGTTTTACACATGGAAGTGAATCAGAGTGGGACATTGCTTTGCCTTAGAGAGGTCACACTTCTTCTTTTTTTTTTTAAATTTGCGACAGAGTCTCGCTCTGTTGCCCGGGGTGGAGTGCAGTGGTGTGACATTGGCTCACTGCAACCTCTGCCTCCCAGGTTCAAGCAATTTTCCTGCCTCAGCCTCCCGGGTAGGGTAGCTGGGATGATAGGCACGCATTACCATGCCTGGCTAATTGTTGTATTTTAGTTTCACCATATTGGCCAGGCTGGTCCCAGTCTCCTGGCCTCAAGCGATCTGCCCGCCTCAGCCTCCCAAAGTGCTGTGACTACAGGCGTAAGCCACCACACCCGGTGAGGGGTCACACTTCATGCCACGTGGGAAGCAGCCACTCAGACAGCACCCCAGCTGGCGCTGGGAGTGAGGGGTGCTCAGCATCCTAGGAAGGCAGAGGGCTGCATGAGAGGTTCGGGGAGGAAGGACTGGAGGAGGATTTGAGATTTTCACCTGAGCAGCTGGGTGGATGGAGGGGCTGTTTACTGAGAATCACAAGAATGTGGATGAGCAGGTTAGGGCACTAATAAAGCACTCTGTTTTGGCCCGCGGAAAATTTGAGATGCTTCCCTGTGTCCAGCTGGGGCTTTGGGAAAAGTCAGGGCTGGGCATCTGACTGGGATGGATGTCTCTGGCAGGCAGCAGAGCATGTGGATGGTTTGTGAAGCCCGGAAGGGCATGAGATTTCCTGTGGCAGTGCCCACTGCAAATGGAAGGGCATTTGGCCTGAGTCCAGACATGTACAAGTGGGGCAGAGAAGGGGGTGGGTCCCCGGGACCCACCGAGGAGCAGCTATGGAAGTACAGGAAAACCAAGGGTGTGGGATCACATGATGCAGGAAGCTCAAATAAGATGAGGAAAGAGGTTTTAAAGACCATCAGGGCTGGGGACAGTGGTTCATGCCTGTAATCCCAACACTTTGGGAGGCTGAGACGAGAGGGTAGCTTGAGGCCAGGAGTTTGAGACCAGCCTGGGCAATATAGGGAGACCCCATTTCTATAAATAAATAAATACCATTGGTACTTGGCATTTCAGGCGGGGAACAGCAAACGCATGAAAGCTCTGAGGCAGGAAAGGGAAGTGATTAGTGCGCGCTCCTGGTTCCTTGATCAGACCTTAAAGAGATGCAGAGACATTTCAGGTACTCCTTGGCGGAGCTCCTTCAGGGAAGGCCTAAGTTCGCTTCTACTTCCCATCTATTAATTTTTTTTTTTTTTTTTGGAGATAAGAGTCTCACTCTGTTGCCCAGGCTGGAGCACATGCAGTGGCACCATCTCAGCTCACTGCAACCTTCACCTCCCGGGTTCAAACGATTCTCCTGCCTCAGCCTTCCCAGTAGCTGGGACCACAGGTACGCACCACCACGATCGGCTAAGCTTTTGTATTTTTGGTAGAGACAGGGTTTCATCTTGTTGGCCAGGCTGGTTTCAAACTCCTGGCCTCAAGTGATCCGCCTGCCTCGGCCCCACAAAGTGCTGGGATTACAGGTGCGAGCCACCGCGCCCGGCCCTACTTCTCTCCTAACGCCCACCATACGTGCTTCCAAATGTTTGCTGAATGACAAGGTGAACGAGTGAATGGGACTACGTGACTTCGGGCAGGAGGCAATCCTATTCCTTGGACCTCAGTTTCCCTTTCTGTAAAGCAAGCCTGTCTCTCGCTCTCTGCCCTAAAAGCCTGGGTTCTGGGCTTGAGATGAGCGCGTCCTGTAGATCAGACTCCAAGTGGACGCTGAGCTGGGTCTTCTAAGAGGCCAGGATCCGGCCAGCTCATGGGTACGGTCCTCCCACGGGACCCCGCACGCCCAGTTCCAGCGCCGCCCCGCCCAACCTCCCTTTGTTCCCCCAGGCCCCGCCCTCTCCGCGCAGCTCGCTCCCCATTGGCCGGGGGGCGGGCCCTGGGTGCCCGGCTCAGCTGGGGGCGGGGCGGCAGGCGGCGGGCGGGGCCGTGTGCGCCTGCGCGGTGTGTGTACCGGCCGCAGCCCCGCGCCGGCTGCAGCTCAGTGATCCGAGCCGGATCCCGAGCGGGGAACACGGGCTGAAGCGGCGGCGGCGGCCCCGCCCCGGGGCTCCATTGTTGAGGCTGCCGCGGCTCTGTCGGCTGCTCAGCTGCGCTCCAGTCGGCCCAGGCGCAGCGGCGAGGAGCGAGCACTGCGAGGCAGCGGCCTGAGGTGAGACGGCGCGACGGGCGACGGGGTCTCCGGACCGGGCGGGGGTATCTGCCCCGGGTGTGGCGGCTCCGAGCTGGGATCCGCAGGGTCCGGGGTCGGGATCCGGGGTCCGTGCGCCTGGGCTTTGTCTTGGCCTCGGGTGGCACCGGGGGCTTCGCGCCTGCTGCGACGCCGCGTGGGCCCGCGCGGGGATCCCGGTCGCCCTGCGGGTGGGGGCCGGTCCCCGCTGCTTCCTGGCTCCCCACGTCTGCCGCGGAGGGGGCTGCATGGACCCGGGCGCTGGCTTCTGCCCGGTCCCCCCGCGGCGTGGCTGGTCCCCGTGTGCGGCAGTGGGGGCCCTGCGAGGACCCACTAGTGGGGCGGGGTCCGGGTCACCGCGAGTGGGAGACTCCGCCGCCCTCCCCGCCCTCCCTCGCAGCGAGACTGCTTCGCCAGACTCACCGAGGGGACTGCGCGGACCCTCGGACGAGGGGGTCCGTGACTCTGGGTGGGGGCTCTTTCCCGTCCCCGCATGACGGCTTCCTGAGTGTTTTGTCACCTATAGGTCCCTGCGTGGACCCGTGCGCGTGGGTCCTGGCCGCCCTGCTAGTGGGGCTGTGCGCCGCCCCGTGGCTCGTCTGGGTCGACCCAGCCTGGGACGCGCGTGTAGTGGGGGTCCGTGCGCGCGGGGCGCGGTTGGTGGGGGCGCACTGCCCCGGCCCCGTGATTTATCCTCTCACTTGCCCGGCGGGAGGAAGTGAGAGGCGCGGGCCCGGAGCTCTCGCGCAGCGGCCGCACCGACCTCTGCCCTGGCCGGCGGGTCCCGGGGGGCGAGGGGCTGTCACCGCGCGTCCCACCGCCGCGCTTCCTGCTCTGGCCCCGGGCTTGGGCTCTGATTGGAGGGAGCAGAGCCCTTCTGCCCGGCGCTTCTTGATTTCTTCCGTTAGTAATGGGAAGAAAAAAAAAAAATCTGGAAAGCCAGATTGAACTTTGTAGCTCTCAGCGCTTGGAGAGTGGAAGAAACTCTCCCAAGAATTTGGCGGGCTGGAAAATGCGTTTCAGGCAGGAGCATCCACACCCACGGAATGAGGCCAGGGCAGTTACAGTTAGAGGTCAGATTTATGAGGGGAGAGCGAGGGTGAGGTCCGTGGGTGGGGAGACTCCGACCTCAGCTTGATGGGAAGACCTGATGCTGCCCCTCAGACGCGTATTTCTCAGCCACCAGAGAAAGTGGAATCACTCCTTAGTGAATGCTTTCATCAAACTTTTGAAAAACCTGTAATGTCCCAGGAAGCAAAATCGAACTGGACAGTTTTCCCCCTTTTAAGAGTGTTAAACGTCCCGGAGACAAACAGCAGAAGGCTCAAGGAGTCCAAATACTCAACCTGAAGTTCTTTCTGAACAAGAGATGGTGTATAAGTAACAGGCATACAAGAGAAAACTGAACTAATCACCGCAGCTGTGGCTCCTAGCCCTGTAGCGTGTCATGCAGGCCCTTTTGCCTTCTCTGCCCTCCGCTGTCCCAGACCCCAACGCTACCACCCACCTCCAGTCATCAGCTCCTGCGGACGCATTGCTATGAACTCTGTTTCGGTGGCTCCATTCTCTCTGAAGTTTTGCTTGTTCTCCTGAAGTCCTGGTCTTTAAGAGCTTATGATCTGCAGGGACAGATTGGCTTTGGGCAGTACATAGTTAACTGTAGCACAGCTTGAAAAATGCTCTGATAGAGGTGCGCAGGCAGTTTGTGCATGCTGGTAAATGCGAGGTCCTTTTTCAATACCATGAATCCAAGTATTCATGCTATTTTAAATCTGCAATTCTTTGACTCTCCAGAGGGTTTTTAGATTTTTTTTTTCTATTACTTCCTAGTGTTTGTTGCATAGTTCAGAGTACTTAATTAAAACTTACCAGGTCGGCTGGGCGCGGTGGCTCACGCCGGTAATTCCAGGACTTTGAGAGGTCTAGGCAGGCGGATCACTTGAGGTCAGGAGTTCGAGACCAACCTGGCCAACATGGTGAAACCGGGTCTCTACTAAAAATACAAAAATTAGTCGGGCGTGGTGGTGGGCGCCTGTAATCGCAGCTACTCAGGAGGCTGAGACAGGAGAATAGCTTGAACCCAGGAGGCAGAGGTTGCAGTGAGTGAAATGGCTCCACTGCACTCCAGCCTGGGCCATAGAGTGAGACTTCCTCTCAGAACAAAAACAATGTACTGGGTCTACCTCCGGCTCTGGAATTCTCCTGGAAGGCCTTCTCTTCTGGGCTTCATTTTTCTCACTTTTGAGGATCGTAAACTACGTAATTTCCAAGAATCTTTGCCCTATACCTTTAATTCTTTCAAGCAAATATAGCAGAGAGGAATTCTCTTCCTGGCAATGGTGTAAATAATGGAGGCCTTTGAAAATGTGGATTCTAAAGTGGAAGTTCTTTTTCTTCTTCCCCTGTTTTTTCCTTTTAAACAAGTTTAGTTACGTGAGTATATACTTTATCTCAGAGTTAAGGACAAGTATCTATGATGAAACCTTAAGCAGCTTTTTGGCAATATCTTGCATATTCTTCACAATTGTGTTTTATGTGCAGCATCTTCACTATATCCAGTTGGTTTGTTTTTTTCTCATTGATGGAGCTGTTGAGCTCAGAACTTTTCAGGAGCATTTTGTTGATCTTTGAAGTGTCATGTGAAATATGTTGCAATTTAACATTTTATTTGGTTGAGTAAAATGGGAGTAAATGGAAATTTGAGAGTGCCTTGAGTAGATGTACTTGGCTTTGTGTAATGGTTTGAAGCATAGTTGAAAATTACCACTTGTGGCCGGGTGTGGTGGCTCACACCTGTAATCCCAACACTTTGGGAGGGCAAGGCAGGCAGATCACGAGGTTAGAAGATGGAGACCATCCTGGCTAACATGGTGAAACCCCGTCTCCACTAAAAATACAAAAAATTAGCCGGGTGTGGTGGCACATGCCTGTAGTCCCAGCTATTCAGGAGGCTGAGGTAAGAGAATCACTTGAACCCGGGAGGTGGAGGTTGCTGTGAGCCGAGATTGCACCACTGCACGCCAGCCTGGGCGACAGTGAGACTCCATCTCAAAAAAAAAAAAAAAAAAATACCGCTTGTAAAAAATTGTGTCACATGTTGAATGACCTATAAAGGAGCTACAATTATAAGGAATATGGTAATTAATTCTTTAAAATAATAAGGCCAGGTGCTGTGGTTTACACCTGTAATGCCAGCACTTTGGGAGGCTGAGGTGCGAGGATCACTTGAGCCCAAGATTAGAGGCTGCAGTGAGCTATAATCATGCCACTGCACGCCAGTCTGTGTGACGGAGTGAAACCCTTTCTCTAAAAAATAAAAAGGTAAATAAATAATTTAAAAATAAAATACTGAGCTCCTTTCCAATTTATCTGTTTGGTAAGGTGGGAATTTGATGTGCTTGAGTTTCTTAAAGCCACGTGTCTCTGTAGAAAGGAGACACAATTTTCTCTGCTATTCCTAGTTATTTGGATGATTATAGGGATTAAAAATAGCCATTTGGTCAAGTCGTGAGCTACTGAATTACAATTTTTGCTTCACTCAGTAGGATTTTGCCTTTATTTTGATTTGCATTCTTATCTTAATTTAGGAAAAGATCTTTGTTATATGCTCCATGCACTTTGTTCTTTTGGGGAATCTGATCTTAGGAGAGGGCTTAAAAACGCAACCAGATTTTCTTTATGGTTTTCTAGATTTTATTAATGTTTTAATAAAACAACTAGTTAATGCTGCTTCTGTGTCGAGGTATTTTTCATTTAGAGTAGGCTTGATTTTTATGTGGATTAAATGAAAGGAAGTCTCTCACGGAAGGGGACACATGGGTATGGAGAAGACAGAGGGCATATATATATATATGTATATGTATATATATATGTATATGTGTGTATATATATGTGTGTGTGTGTGTGTGTGTGTATATATATATTTTTTGAGACGGAGTCTCGCTCTGTTGCCTAGGCTGGAGTGCAGTGGCAGGATCTCGGCTCACTGCAAGCTCCGCCTCCTGGGTTCACACCAGTCTCCTGCCTCAGCCTCCCAAGCAGCTGGGACTACAGGCGCCTGCCACCACGCCCACCTAATTTTTTGTATTTTTGGTAGAAACAGGGTTTCACTGTGCTAGCCAGGATGGTCTCCATCTCCTGGACTTCGTGATCCACCTGCCTCGGCCTTCCAGAGTGCTGGAATTACAGGCATGAGCCACTGCGCCTGGCCGACAGAGGATATATTTTTGAGCTCTACATTTCAGAGTTCTTTTCTCTAGCCCTGGCCAGGGTCCCAAACAGGGAACTTAATTCACTCTGTCACTGAAGTATACTCTTGCTTTGATGCCATTGGTGTGGTGTCCTAGAGATTTGCTGTGGCTGCTAGGAGTGTTTCATAGTTAAGAACTGATGCAACTTCTCTTTTGTCAGTTTATGAGTCTATAAACCATCTTGTTTCCTTTAGCATTATCTCCCTGGAACTGGAAGGTCAGAGATGAAGTTTTCTTAGATTGTAAGTCTCAGTCTTTGCTATCTACCTTCCTCTGTCTCCCATGTCACCTGCTGTTTTTTTTTTCCCCTGTTTTTCATTTTAATGTTTTTATTGGATAGGTGTGTATTATTGCAGGCTGCCTCAAAACATTTTTGGATATTGACAGGATGTAAGTATGAATAATATGTAAAAGATAACTTACTCTAGTTCTTTTGAGCAGAGGATTTGGTTTCGATATGTGGCCCTATTAAAACTTTTGTTGAGTCCAAGTACTTTCTGAACTTCAGTTCCCTTACCTGTAAAATGGAGTTAGTTGTTAGTAATACCTGTTCTGCCTAACTCAGGAGATTGTTTTGAGGATCAAATGAAATCATGAATATAATGGAATTTTGTAAATTTTAAATGAAATATTGTATTACCTAAGTTTTCTTTTTTTTTTTTTTTAAAAGACGCTGTTATTAAGAATGGAATGAATCTGGGTTTTCCTTTGAAATCCCAAATGTTTAATGTACAGAGAAGTTTTAATGTGTCTGTTGGATAGCTTCATTAGGATTGTTTTCTATCTTTAATTGGCCAGTATTGTTTTATATTTTAGCATTTTTGGGGAACATCAAAATTTGTTTCAGTTATCATTAATATTTTCCAAAGTTATTGAATGTGCATGATTTCATCTTTAACAATCTCTTCAATTATTTACATTCCCATGTAAAAAAATGAAGTAATGAACGTCCATGTAAATAACATTCCCATGCTTTAATGAAGCATAATTTCTTGACTTTGCAGTTTCTTTTTTTTTCTTTTGAAACGGAGTCTCACTCTGTCGCCCAGGCTGGAGTGCAGTGGCCAGATCTCAGCTCACTACAAGCTCCGCCTCCCGGGTTCACGCCATTCTCCTGCCTCAGCCTCCCGAGTAGCTGGGACTACAGGCGCCCGCCACCTCGCCCGGCTAGTTTTTTGTATTTTTTTTTTAGTAGAGACGGAGTTTCACTGTGTTAGCCAGGATGGTCTCGATCTCCTGACCTCGTGATCCGCCCGTCTCGGCCTCCCAAAGTACTGGGATTACGGGCTTGAGCCACTGCGCCCGGCCAGACATTGCAGTTTCTAAGTGCCCTGTCTTGAGGTTGGGAAAGCTAAAGGGTAGTCAGAGGTCAAGGTCAGCAAAACATCACCTTTGACATTTGAAATCCAGCAGCAGGTATCACAGTGAAGCCCATTCCAGCATCCAGGAAGTTTCTCTGCCCTGCCTCTCCTCCAGCCACCTCGGAATCTATGTCTGCGGTGTTGGTCCTACTTTCCTCTCTCTCCTCCGCCTTTTCTTTATCTTCACCAACTTCTACCGAGTGCCTCTGATGTCCCAGACAGTGGCAGTGGGAGTACAAAGGCTAATACACCTGACCCTGGTCCTCAAAGAATTGATGTTTTCTGTGCAGATATTAAGTGACACTGTCATATATAGTGTTGACAAACATTGATACAGATTTCCTGTGAAGTACAGAAGCACCGTCCTAGAAGCAGAGATGCAGAGGCAGCCCTGGTGACTCACACATGGAGAGCTGGAGTTCTTGGTCTAGTGGGATAAACTGACCTGGACATCATTTCAGTGCAGCGGAGTGAGTGCTGGGACGGGCTCCCTCGGGGCATCTGGGGCTGGGTTTGTCTGGTGTTTAGTCTCCTGCCTGGTACTTAGAGTTTATCAGCAAGATGAGCGTTGGGAGGTCTCTTTTTTTTTTTTTTTTTTTTTTTTTACTTTTATCAGTCTTTATTAATCTTCAATTGATCTACACCTAGAGCATGCTGTTGTTTCTACCTAAAATGACCGGGGTCTTGCCTTTTGCTTCCCATAGAGATTCTCCCAACTCTGTAGGTCCATAGTCACACGAGGACAGCTTTGCATGTAACATGAATCTCCAGAGCTTCATACACATCCTTCCCTTAGCCTATATTTCATTTTACAATTTCAGAGATCCAACCATCTCTGAACCTGTCTGAAACTAGCCCACATGCCATATACCAGATTACAACATTCAGGCCAGCTTCACTATTACTTTTCCTCCTTTTACGACCACCAAGCATTGGGGGGTTTCTAAGTGAAAGGAAAGGCAGTCACTTACCTGAAACCTGAAATTTGTAGGTGTTCTGGGCCATTTATAATTCACTGAATCTGTTTTGTCAGAACAAGTCTATCATCTATTGTTTTGGATGGAGTGTGGCCAGCCTTGCCTTGGGATGTAAGGAAATCAGGAAATGCTTGTCAGGTGTCAACACCGTGCCGGACACTCTTCTAGGGGTTTCCACGTAAATCACTGTATTCATTTCTGTTGCTGCTTTACCACATTTCCACAAATTTAGTGGCTTAAACCAATTGAAATTGTATCATCTCACAGTTCTGTGGGGCAGAAGTCTGACGTGGGTGTCACTGGGCAAAAATCACCACGTGGGCTGGGCTGCATTCCTCACTGGAGAATTGTTTCCAAGAGCTTTTGGCCAAGTACAGTTCCTTGTGGTTGCAGGACTGAGGTGTCTGTTCCCTTGCTGGCCATCTGTTGGGGGCTGCCCTCAGCTCCTGAGGCCTCTATCTGGTCTTCGCACGTGGTCCCATCAGCTCAGGACTAGCTCGGCCAGGGACCTGGTCAGGCTCTCCAGTTCCCCTGTGTGCATTTCTCTTTTTCCACTCGGAGAAAGTTCTATGCCCTTTTTAAAATATTTTTTTGAGATGGAGTCTTGCACTGTTGCCCAGGCTGGAGTGCAGTGGTGTGATCTCAGCTCACTGCAGCCTCCACCTCCCAGGTTCAAGTGATTCTCCTGCTTCAGTCTCCTGAGTAGCTGGGACTACAGGTGCCCGCCATGACGCCCGACTAATTTTTGTATTTTTAGTAGAGATGGGGTTTCACCATTTTAGCCAGGATGATCTCCATCTCTTGATCTCGTGATCCGCTGGCCTTGGCCTCCCAAAGTGCGGAGATTATAGGCGTGAGCCACCGCGCCTGGCCAGTTCTATGCTTTTAGAGGTTCATGGGATTAGATTGGACCTCCCTGGATAGCCCAGGATACTCCTCCTAAGGCCTGTGGCAAAGCCCTTTTGCTGCATGACATAGTCACAGGTCTCGGGGGTTGGAATCTCCTACCACAGTTACCGGTCCACTTACTACAGCAGCCTGGGAGGTGCTTTTCATTGCCTCTGGTTAACAGATACCAATTTTTTATTTTTGCAAATTGGCAGGAACATGAAGATCCCTCTTTTTTTTTTTTTTTGAGACGGAGTCTCATTCTGTTGCCCGGGCTGGAGTGCAGTGGCGCGATCTCGGCTCACCACAACTTCCACCTCCCGGGTTCAAGCAGTTCTCCTGCCTCAGCCTCCTGAGTAGCTGGGACTACAGACACGTGCCACCAAGCCTGGCTAATTTTTGTATTTTTGGTAGAGATGGGGTTTCACTATGTTGGCCAGGCTGGTCACAAACTCCTGACCTCGTGATCCGCCCACCTTGGCCTCCCAGAGTGCTGGGATTACAGGCATGAGCCACGGCGCCCAGCCGTGAAGATCTTTCTTAAGTGAAAAAACTGTTCCTCTGACTTGATGTGAGGCTGTTGGTGAGATTGAAAGCAGTGGAGACAGGTCTGTCAGAAACGGAGCTGAACTTTGTGTTCTGGAGTATTCTGATGGCCTGCCCTGATTATGTAAGTTTTGCTAAGAAGTCATTAGAGTCATTCCTCTACTGGAAGAAACACCCATATGGGGAATTTGGGACCTTGCCTTTTCAAGTTTTACACAAAGGACTCTTCATGGGTGAAAAGTACATGATTCCAGGTCCATTTCTAGAATGGAAACAGCTGCATCAACCCAACAGCGATTCACATTCCTGAGTTTGAGAGAATCTGATTGTTTCAAGGCTGAAGCCAAAAGCCCAATAAACAATGTTTGTACCTTTATTCATAGTTAGGAATTAGGTGCATCCCGTGGTCGAGAAAACAACTGATGGTGGTCACCAAGTAGTTTAAAACCAAGCAGGACCTCATTTTATCATGTGGGTGTTTCTGATTTTTTTTAATGAAGTTTTTATTTTGCTGTGCAATAAATGACAAGCTCTGACTTGAAATATATTTCCTTTAATAAACCAGAATCTAGGGCCGGGCTCGGTGGCTCATGCCTGTAATACCAGACTTTAGGAGGCTGAGGAGGGCAGATCACGAGGTCAGGAGATCGAGACCATCCTGGCTATGGTGAAACCCTGCCCCTACTAAAAATACAAAAAATTAGCCGGGCATGGTGGTGGCCGCCTGTAGTCCCAGTTACTCAGGAGGCTGAGGCAGGAGAATGGCATGAACCTGGGAGGCGGAGCTTGCAGTGAGCTGATATCACGCCACTGCACTCCAGCCTGGACGACAAAGCGAGACTCTGTCTCAAAAGAAAAAAAAAAAAAGAAAGAAACCAAAATCTATAATCCTAAGGTTTTTAACCTGGCTTTCAGAAATTTATGAAGTCCCCAAAATCCTGTGCAACAATTTTGTGTATATGCATCCAGGTGTGTTTATGGGGAGATGATTTATAGCTCTCCATACATTTTCAAAGCGATTGGATTCCAAAAAATTTTAGAATACACCATTTGGGCCTGGTGTGGTGGCTCACACCTGTAATCCCAGCACCTAGGGAGGCTGAGGCAGCAGGATCCACTGAGGTCAGGAGTTTAAGACCAGCAACATAGTGAGACCTCCACCTCTACCAAAAAAAAAAAACAACCAAAAACGCTGGGCGTGGTGGTACGCACCTGTGGTTCTAGCTGCTTGGGAGGTTGATCACCTGATCCCAATAATTTGAGGCTGTAGTAGGTTAGAATTGCACCATGGTACTCCAGCCTGGGCAACAGAGCAAGACCCTCTCTCAAACAAAAACAAAAACAAAAAACCATGTCACTTAATGTACTATTGTTGTTGGTCAAGTATCAGATTTTGTTTAAAAATTAAATACTCTTTTTTTTTTTTTTTTTTGAGATGGAGTCTGGCTCTGTCGCCCAGGCTGGAGTGCAGTGGCGTGGTCTCCGCTCACTGCAAGCTCCGCCTCCCGGGTGCACACCATTCTCCTGCCTCAGCCTCCTGAGTAGCTGGGACTACAGGCGCCCGCCACCACGCCTGGCTAATATTTTGTATTTTTAGTAGAGATGGGGTTTCACCGTGTTAGCCAGGATGTTCTTGATCTCCTGAGCTCGTGATCCGCCCACCTTGGCTTCCCAAAGTGCTGGGATTACAGGTAAATACTCATTTTTAGCAAAGGTGTACAGGCATACAGCTCCAAGAGTCAGAAATTAACAAGGCTTAGAACAAAACCCAGCAATCCCCTACTTTACCGTTCTCCACCCTGATCCCTGCTCCTTGGAGGTTACTGTGTTTATGTTTTAGCTGGTTCTTCTAGATTGTGTGAAAGACAGGGAGATGTCCTACTGTGGAAGACAAGGATTCAGGTTGCTTACCCTCCCCCCTGCTCCTGTTGCCCACGTTTTTCTCCCCCATCCTCTCAGTATAATTATTGTGATAGTGAGGCCAGGCATGGTGGCTCGTGACTTATCCCAGGTTTTTGGAGGCCGAGGCAGGCAGATCACTTGAGGCCAGGAGTTAAAGGCCATCCTGGCCAACACAGTGAAACCCCGTCTCTACTAAAAAATACAAAAATTAGTCAGTTGTAGTGTTGCACACCTGTAGTCCCAACTACTCAGGAGGGTGAGGCACAAGAATTGCCTGAACCTGCGAGGTGGAGTTTGCAGTGAGCTGAGATCGCACCACTGCACTCCAACCTGGGCGACAGAGGTAGACTCTGTCTCAAAAAAAATTATTGTGATAGTGGGATACATAGTACAATATTGTGTCTATTTAGTATTCTTCCTGGTTTTTGGCCCAGAGCTTCTAAAACCCTTGTAATTTCCTGAGTGATAGGAACATCATTGGTTATAATATTTGGTCTTAGGTTTCAATACCTGACACAAGAGCTTCTAAGACTTTTGGAATCTCTGGGGTGATAGGAGTGTCTTTTGTGTGATAATGAGATGATGGGTAGCTTCGGGCCCCTAGACAGGTTCAGGATTAGGGCTGGTTGCCAGAAAGATGAGTCATGATTAAAGAGTTGAACGTATCAGCCTCACCCCTACCTCTGGGGAGGGGAGACAGACAGGCTGGAGATTGAGCTAGTCACGGGTGGCCAATGACTTAATCATGTCTATGTTATGAAAACTCCATAAAACCCTCTAAATACTGGGTTTGGAGAGCTTCTGGTTTGGTGAACTCATTTGGTGCTGGGGAGGTGGCACTTCCAGGGACGGCAGGGGAGCCCTGACCTCTCTGCCCCGTGGTGTGCCCTGTGCGTCTCTTGCATTTGGCTGTTCCCTTGCTCTCTTCTTTGTAATAAACCAGTAAGAGTAGGTAAGTGCCAAGCACTTTGCGTCTGTCACCTCTCTTACTTTTTCAGCAACACGGTGTGGCAGATAATGTCCTCATTTTGCCGGTGACAAAATGAGACTGATACATTGAGTAACTTGCTCAAGGTCACATAATAAGTGGAATTCAAGCTCTGACTCCGAAGCCTGTGCTTTTAACCAGCATGCTGCATACGCGGCCTCTTTATTTGTTAGGATTTTTGGTGTCTCTAGGGCCTGACACCAAGTTGACCGTTGTGGCCTAGAGCTGTTATAACGCAGCTTTTAGCGGCCCTGCTGAGAACACAGCCAGCACCTCCGGATTGGCAGGGCAGGGGCTGTTCCTGCTGGGAGCTGCAGGCCACTCCCTGTGGCCCTTGGGTGATCTTCCTCATCCACTCCCTCCCTCATTCAGTAGTTCCTGAGTGCCGCCTCTGTGTGGAGGAGGAGGAGGCAGCCTTCCAGCCCAGGTGGGGCCTGCAGGTACACACAGGGAGAGGCAGCTGTGCACTGAGCTGGCTGTAGGCTGGGACAGTGTGGCTCCAGAGGTGGCGGCGATAGAATGCTCTGGGACTGCAGAGGGAGCACGTGCTTCTGAAAGGGAGGAAGGGGCAGGCACCGCAGAGGAGGTGTACTTGAGTTGGACTTTGAGGGAGGAGTTGGATTTCCACAGTGGAAGCGAGCAGCTAAGGCTTTCTCAGAAG